ATAGAAAAAACAGACAAACTAAAGGGAAATACTTTAAATCAGTATGCTGATCACTTCTGTTTATATTTTGTTAACATTTTAAGTATTCATATTTACATTTACTTTTTTTTTTGAAACAGGGTCTTGCTATGCAGCCCTGGCTGGCCAGAACTTGCTTTGCAGACCAGACTGTCCTTGAACTCACAGATATACCTGCTTCTGCCTCCAGAGTGCAGGGGTTATGCCAGTGCATATTTACGTTTAAAAGCCATTTAAAGAGTTTACAGTTTGTCTCTGTATTTTTCTTCAGTGTCTTATGCTTGTTCTCAATGCTCCCAAATACAGCATATGAATACTTTTGAGTGTGTTAATTTTCTTTCATTTTTTGTGGCTTTAAATTAAAAAAAAACATGAAGTTTAACCCCAGATCATTCCTTTGGGGTCACTACTTTTCACCACTTTTTCTCTTAACTACTGTCTGACTAGATCATTTTTGTGTTTATTTTTCTTTTTTAAATAAATGGTACTTGAGTAAACCCTTGAGTGTTTGTGTTTGTGTGTGTTTCCGTGTGTGTGCATGTACACCTGTGTTCCTGTGCTTATGGCAACCAGAGGTTGATGTCAGGTTTCTTCCTCAGCACTCCATTCTATTTTGTGAGACAGGGTCTCTCACTGACCCTGAAGCTCACTGGTTGGCTTGGTTGGCTGGCCAGTTAGCCCCAGGGGTCCCTTCTGTGTCTGCATTCCAGTGCTGGGATTATAGGTGCATACCACCATACCTGGGTTTTCACATGGGTGCTGGGAGATCATTAAGTTTGCATATCAAGCACTCTAGCCACTGAGCCATCTCTGTAGCCCTATTTATGTTTTGTATTTTCTTTTGAACAGGGTCTCCCTGTAGCCACAGCTGACCTGGAACTTGCTATGTAGACCAGGCTGGCCTCTATCTCACATAGAGCCTACCTTTCTCTGCTTCCCAAGTGCCTATTTGTGTTTTGAGACACTGTCTTGCTATGTAGCCCTGGCTGACCTGGCCTGTGGGATCCTCCTGCCTCTGCTTCCTGAATGAGACAGGGTCTTGCTACGTGGCTTTAAACCTCCTTCCTCATCTCCTAAGTGTTGGAATTATAGGTGTGTGCTACCACCATGCTTGGTTCAAAGTTTAATTTAATCACTTTGTTTCTATCATTCTTTTATCTTTCTCCCACCTGGTTCCTTCCCTACATAGAGTAATGAACCCCCCCCATATATCTATCACCCATCCACTTTCAACAATTATTAATTTTGGGTAGTCTTCTATCTAACTGTGTCAATTATTTTGTGTTAAATCTTGACATCATATTAGTATCTTAATAGATATCTCAAATGTTAAAGATTCTTTTTTTTTTTTTTTTTTTTTTGGTTTTTTTGAGATGGACCTTGTAGCCCCAGCTGGCCTCAAACTCACAGAGATCTGCCTGCCTCTGCCTTCCAAGTGCTGGGATTAAAGGTGTTTACCACCATGCCCAACTAAGATTATTCTCTTTAACCATAAAAATGCTTTAATGAATGTAATCATGCTTTTGAACAAATCCCTTAATATATACCATCCCACTAGGGTTTGGAACTTCCCAAATAATCTATTTGATTTCTTTGAAGGAAGGTTGACATATATTGCAGATTGGTATGCCTTTTAAGTCTTTCATAGTGTGAAGGTTTTCTTTGTCTCCCTCTTTTTTCCATTGCAGTTTGTTGGAATAATAAAAAATAAAGAAAGTGATTAATATGAACTTGTAGATTGAGGTATAATTTATACATAATTAAATGCAGATGTGTGTTTGGTGGGTGAATTTTTTTTTTTTTCTTCTTTGTGAGACAGGGTCTCCCTGTAGCCCCAGCTGTCCTGGAACTATGTAGACAAGGCTGGCCTTGAAGTCACAGAGATCAGCCTGCCTCTGCCTCCTCAGTGCTGGGATTAAAGGTGTGCTCGGCTTGGTGGGTGAATTTTTTTAGTTGCATACATTGATGTATCTACTACTTAGTGTATTTTGTTTTCAGGTATGTATTTTTTTAATTGGACAAGGGGAAGAAATCATTTCTGTTCTTTAGACTCTTAACATTTTAAGTAACCACAACAAGGAAAAATTAATTATATGCTATTAGAAATATAAGCTAGTGTGCTGGAGGTGCAGTTCAGTAGTACAACATATACTTAACATGCAAAAGGCCCTGGGTTGAATTCTCAGCATGCATTGGTGTGTGTGCACACACAGCTCTTGCAGAGGACCCAGGTTTGATTCCCAGCACCCACATGGCGGCTATGAACCATCCTTAACTCCAGTTCCAGGGGAATCTGAAGCCCTCTTCTGACCTCTGCAGGCATTGCATGGCAAGGGTGCACTCACATACATGCAGGCAATACACTCATACACATAAAATAATAAATAAAACATTTTTTAAAAAAAGAAATACAAAATGTGGTTGGGTGTGATAGTACATACCTTTAATCCCCAGGGGAGATGAAGGTAGATCTGAGTTCCAGGCTAGCCAGAGCTACATAGTGAGACCCTGTCTAAAATAGAATAGAAAAGGAAACAAAAACTAACAATGAAAGAAATACTAAATGTTTTGTTTTTTAGTATCTAGGTGGCTAGATAAGAGAATTTAGGTTTTAAAAATCCATCTTGATAGCAGAGGTTATATGTAAATGCTGAGAGCTAAAGGTGAGAAGTGTAAATCTACAGTAGAATTGATATGTTTACAAGAATTGTGACTGTGTACTTCTGTAAATTGGATATCCTTTTCACCTCTACCTCATTTTCAACCAGCAGACAGACTTCAGCTCTTATGAATTCTCTAGAATTGATAGAATTCAGTTGTTACTATTACTGGCAAAACATTACCTGCACTTGAATCACATAATGTTTTGAGTATTTTCTTTGACAGACATTAGCCAACTTGGTTATTTTATTTTATCTCTGCTTTGTCCATAATTGCATTTATTGTTGTACTTTGGGACATTTTGTTGATGAGCTGAGTAGTAGTACATTGATTTTTTGTTTTGTTTTGTTTTGTTTTGTTTTTTTTGGACATACCACTAGAAGAGAGAATTCAATTTCATAAGTTACTGAGTACCTGCTCTGTGTTAACACTGGTCTTTCGTCCAACCCCCTGCTGACAGCCCTGTTCTAGATTGTGTAGGTTAGGAAACAACTAGTGTTGTAGTGGTTTGTCCAAAGCTATACATCCGTTAGCTACCAAAAACCCAAACTTACTTTAGAACTGTTAAAAAGTTTTACTAAGATAATCCTGCATGAAGATCAGTGAAATCTGAATAATAGTAATTTTGTCTTTCATAGTGTCTCATACACCAGGACTTTCCTTGGTATGTGACAAAATAGGATGCTATTTAAGACAAAATTATATCAGATCCATTTCTGATAGTGTTTCTTAGGAACGTGCAAATCCCAAGTTGTTTCTAGAAAAGGTTTTATACTAAAATGTTAATAAAATCATTTAATGTCTATAGTGTGTAATATAATTATATAAGACCAGTGTTGTTATTTTTACAGGCAATTAATAGATAGATTAATTGAATTGTCTTTAGATAATTCAGTCCAGAAGTATAGATTTCTTAAAATGTTTATAAAGTTGCTTAAATATGTAATTATTTATTGAATTTATAATTTGACTTCCTGCTCCGACACTTTTCGTTTTGTTTTTTTTTTTTAAAACAAAGTCTCCCTTTCATTTTGTGGGAAACAGATTTGTTTCAAAGGTTTTCCAAAAACTAATGTTAATGCAAATTTCTTTTTTAAAGCGGTTATATATTTTTGCCTTTTTAAAACTGTTTACTTCAGATCTGTATGTGATTCTGATTGAGCTTTTTTTTTTGTGATTAGTCTGAGTTCCAAATCTTGACAAATTTTCTATCTCTAATTCAATTTCAGTCACCTGAATTTTCTTTGTCCTTGTATACTCTATTTTTAAAGCAGATTTTGGATTTTAAATATTTTATTCTATAATCTTAAATATGCTGACCTGTGCTACTAGAATTTTTTGTCCCTAAGATCCTGCTCCCATCCCATCAAAAAACAAAAACAAAACAAATGAACAGATTATTTAAGAAAACCAGTTTCCTCTCAGAATTGCCATAGTATGTAAAAAAAAAAAAAATTTTTTTTTTTCAAATAAAAGTACAAATTGCTTTTTTTTTAAAAAGGCCTTTTTATGCAACATTGGTTGGGTAAGACAAGAGAACTACTAGCTAAACTCATTCCTTCTGTAATTATTTTGAACTTCTAAGTTCCTAGTTTTAACCTCTGGTTCAGTCCCGTCTTACTAGATTTAAGTGGCTTTTGTTTTGTTTTGTTTTTTTTCATGCAGGTTCTGCTCATTAATCACCAGTGTGGATCTGAAGAAGAGTTTATTACCTCTCTTTTTTTGAGTATGTTTAACTTCAGATACACACAACGTAGCCTCTCCTTCCCTATTAGATTCTTAGAAGGTAGTTATATTTTTTTATAGTCTCCTTCTTGTGGCTTTGATAGTTGTGATCAATAAGAATAAAAGCTGTTCCTTTCATACTGGGCTACTGCATGCAAATCAGTTCACTTACAACCTCCTGGAGGTCTTTGGCATGCCAGACATAAATCGGAGTGTTTATTTGTGGAGGTAACCATGTTCCAAAGAAATCTAAGAGTAGAATTCTTTTATCCAGAGTCTGGGAGAGTTATCCTTTCGCTTCTGGGAATCACTGACTTTAAGGGGCTTGCTTTTTTTGGTGTGTGATTTTCAAAATTTGTTTAAGATGGGAAATGATAAATTAAAAATTTTGTGGTATTAGACATTAATCTCTGAGAAATAGAAATTAGCTTGCATTATACCTATTGTATGCTTAGTGCAATAGTTGACTTATCATGCCTTATTAAACATTAATGAACATGTATTTTTCATGTTCACAACTTTTAGGTAAATGTACTTTTACTTTTGTATGTGAGTGAACAAAGTATTGTACATAAAGTTCATCCTTTTATATCTAGGGCTGGAAAAAAGAAAGAATTCTTGCTGAATATCCTGATGGTAGAATAATAATGGTTCTTCCTGAAGATCCAAAGTATGCCCTGAAAAAGGTAAATTTTCAGTAAAATTTCATACAGTAAATTTTCCTAATGTTAAGTGGATAATACATGGCTGGCATAGCACTTTTAAGTACCAATTCTGAAAATAAGAAATAAGCATTTACAGAATATAACCCTTTTGAAGAAAAAGAAAAAAGGCCAAAGCTCATTTGAAAAAAGACTACAGCTCACTTGAAAAGTTATGCTAACTATACTACATCCAAAATATGTAGAATGAATGAAATGCTTTCCAGTATTAGCACTATTTTGAATGATTACATAGAAAGCATAGTTAGGTTAATGAGTAATGCCAAGTAGAGGATCTTAAATATCAGAATCATAAAAGCTGGGCTGGGGACTTGGAACACGCCTTTAATCCCAGCACCCAGGAAGCAGAGGCCTGTGAATCTCTGTGAGATCAAAGCCAGCCTGATTTACATAGCAAGTTCCAGGGCAGCTGGCTACAGGAAGACCCTGTCTCAAAAAGATAAAAATCAGAATTATGGGGATTAGAGAGATGACAGAGGACTCAGGTTCAATTTTCAGCACCCACATTGTAGCTAACAACCATCTGTAATTGCAGTTCCAGAGGATCTGACATCCTCTTCTGACATCCTTGGACATACTTGGTGCACTTACATACATTTAGGCAAAACACTCATACACATAAAATAAAGATAACATAAAATTTTAAGTTTTAAAGTACATTTATAGATACACATCTTTTTTTGCCTAGATGATTTTTTTTTTAATTAAGGAAAAATACTTCACATAGCAATGGATCCAGTTATTTATCTAAAAGCCTAATTATACTGGTGTGTATCTACAATGTCTGAACATACAAAGGAAATAATTTATTTACTGTATTTTCTTTTTTGGTTTAAAATATTTTTAATTATTTTATGTGTATGAGTGTTTTGCCTGCATGTAAGTGCACTACATGCGTGCATTGTCCATGGAGGCCAGAGGAGGGCATCAGATCCTCTGCAACTGGAATTACTGATGGTTGTCAGCTGCCATGTGGGTGCTGGGAACTGAACCCAAGTTCTTTGTAAGAGCAGCCAGTGTTCTTAACTGCTGAGCCATTTCTTCAGCCCCTACTGTATTTTCTGTAGGTTTACAATTACAGTTTTTCTTTTTTTGCCTCATAGTATGACCACATGGCTTATTCACAGTTAGACATCTTTAATTTAGGAATATATCACCTGAAAAGGAGGTTAAGAACAACATCTATTTGAAAATGTAGCTAACTTCTTACTTGTCATATACGTTCTTTAGCTCTTGGGTTTTTTTGTTGTTCTGTTTTTGTTTTGTTTTGATCTCTTGCATTATCTGAGTAGACAATTGCAGATCCTTCTGCCTCATGAAATAGGCATAATAGAATGTCATAAAACTTTTCCCATTTGTCTTGTATTGAAACACTTATCCTTGCACTAAGATACATACTTGCTGGCTACTAATTGGGTAATATAAATTAAAGTACTGAAAAATTTCAACTATTGTTCAAAAATGCATAGTAGGAGCCTTGCTGCACTATAGCCAGACTTTCCTTACTAAAATTTCTGCCAGTGACTTCTAATTTACTCAATTCAATTTCTCAGAAAAAAAACTGCAATTCATTATAGTAGTTTGTAGTCCATAATAACTTTAAAATGAAAATCTAAGGAATTGTGAACAACGTTATCTCTAGGAACCTAAGCAAGGTGCTATTATCAGGTACTAGAGATTAGGAGGATCTGGGTTTTCATCTCTAAGGGATGCACTGCACGGTATGGTATGCAGGCCAGGAGTGAGTGTAGAACAATTCTAGGGGTTATTTGCACAATGTTTATTAGACTGAACAGCTGTTTTTAACTCTAGACAGTTAATGTACAGGTGCCTGTAGAGTTCTGACATTTCAAAAGCTTGAGTTTGGAAGAAGCACAGTTCATTGCCATATTAATATTTACTTTCTTGATGTATAACTTTCTTTGATTTCCTGGATTTTTTTTTTTTTTTTTTTTTTTGAGGCAGGGTCTCCCTGTAGCCTCAGCTATCTTGGAACTCACTATGTAGACCAGGCTGGCCTTGAACTCGCAGAGATCCGCCTGCCTCTGCCTCCCAAGTGCTGGAATTAAAGGTGTGCACCACCACGCCCGGCCAGGAAAATTAACTTTTAAGTTTGATTTCTTCCACATATAAAATGAACTGTAAACCTCCAAGGGTTGTTGGATTTAAATGAGTGTAGCTCTTGCTAAAAAGTAAACATACATTTTTTCTCCCATCTTTATTTTATTGATGAGCTCTAAGGCTCGGGAAGAACAGCAGCTTGCCTGCCTAAGATCCAGTACATTCGATCCAATTCAGACTCACGGTGTACCTACTGAAGAAGCCTTGTTATTTTCTTAGCACCGGAGAATGTCTTATTTGCTTAGTGTTAGAGCTATCACTGTTTTTGTTTCCTAGATGGATGGTTTTGACAATACCCAATATTTCTTTCCTCATTTTGCCAAGTGGTTTATAGGACTTAAAAAAGTTAATGACAAATATAGACATCTAAAGAACTCTTTAAACCATGTGTGGTGGTACATGATTGTAATTGCAACACTCTGAAGTCTGAGGCAGAATTGCCACTAGTTCAGGGCCAGCCTGGGCTATGCAGTAAGCACCCGGCCTGCAAGAAAGATAGCAAAATAGCAAGACCTTGTCTCAAAAAACAAAAATAAAACGACATCCAAAACAAAAAACTTTTTAGAGGATATACTGCTTGGAATAATACTTTAAACTTACTGAATGGTTTATATATATATATATATATACAATACTCTTTTTTGTTAAAAAATGTATTGTCTTTATTTGGCAGGTTGACGAGATTAGAGAGATGGTTGATAATGATTTAGGTTTCCAACAGGCTCCACTAATGTGCTATTCCAGAACCAAAACACTTCTCTTTATTTCTAATGACAAAAAAGTAGTTGGCTGCCTAATTGCAGAACATATCCAGTGGGTAAGTGACTTTTAAAAGAGTACCATAAGTAGTTTGATGTTCAAATGAGTGTATTACTGTGTGGTCTTAAATAGTATAATCCTGAGCTAAAGAGATGGCTCAGTGGTTAAGAGCACTGACTGCTCTTGCAGAAGATGTGAGTTCAATTCCCAGCATCCACATGGCAGCTAGCAGCCACCCATAACTTCAGTTCCAGGGGCTCCGAAGCCGCCTTCTGACCTCTGCCAACATTATACAAAACGGGTGCATTTACACACATGCAGGCAATACACTCATACACATAAAAATAATAAAAAATATTTTCAAATAGTATAATCCTGATTAATTTGTCTACATTTTACATAATGAAGAATGTAAATTCAAGAATTATTGTGTGTAATTCTACAGTATAAATGGATTTTATCTCTGTAGGAATTATTAGGTTTTTTGTTAGTTGTTTTTTCCTTTTTCTCTTAGAGTCTTACTATGTAATCCACACTGGCTTAGAGCTCACTATGTAGTTCAGGCTGTTCTCAGATTTACAGTCCTCCTCAGTGTAGGGATTATAGGTGTGCACCACCATACAGGACTGAGAATTAGTCCCTCCTTCCCTCCCTCCCTCCCTTCCATCCTTCCTTCTTCCTTCCAGACAGGGTCTCACTATGGTAACTCTGGCTGGCCTAGAATTTATTATGTAGACCAGGTTGGCCCGAAACTCAGAGAGCCTCCCCCTTTCCCCTTTGCTGGGATTAAAGGCATTCACCACCACATCCAGCATGAATTAGTTTTTCAAGCCGGTGAGACATATGCAAAGTGTCAAAAGTACTGTTAAAGTTTGTTGAAGAGAGGTTTTTTTTCTTTGTTTTGTTTTGAGACAGGGTTTCCCTGTAGCCTCAGCTGGCCTGGAATTCTCTATGTAGACCAGGCTGGCCTGGAACTCATAGATAATCTGCCTGCCTCTGCCTTCAGAGTGCTAGGATTAAAAGTGTGCATCACTACGCCCTGCTTGTTGAGGGAGTTGTGCAAAATGTGACTTTTAATAAAGATTTTTAAAGATAGGGTCTAACAGTCCTGACTGGTATTGAACTTGGCTAGATAGCTGAGACCTGCTCTGCATTCCTGCCTCTACCTCTCAAGGACTGGGATTACAGGTGTGTACCAGCATGCCTACTTTGTGGCCTGTTTTTATAAATAACACCACCACACTCGTGTCCCTATATTGTTCTGTGGCTGCTTTCATACAATAAAGGTAGAGAAAGTAGTTGGCTGTGATGCTTGAAATAGTTAAATAGTCTGTGCCTTTATACAAAGTTTGTCTACCCCTAGAATAGATCACTTTAGTTGATCTCTAAATGAGCAGGTGGCTTATAGTATAAAATTGTATAAAAACCAAACTGGAATCATAGGGATATTCTCACATTATGAGTGTTACAGAGAACTAAAGACTAACCTAAGAGAACAGAAGCTTCTGGGCTCCTCAATCCAGCTTACTTGAGGCATACCTGAGATCTGTCTCTTTTCAGTCAAGTTCTTCATGAATTCAACTGTACATTGTGTGTACTTCTGTTCCATTGGTATCTTTACCATATTGATAGCTGTCTGCACAAATGTATGCTTCATTATAATAATTTTTAATAAAGCAAAAAGTCAAACAAGGCCATACGAATTTAATATAAGTTAAGCTAGATGTCTTGCAAATTCTATTTGAAATGAGTTATTGTGACTCCTGTTATGTTAACAATTGATTTTAAATAGCTGAAAGTTTGCCACATTGTGATGGCGTTAATCTTGTATAGTACAAACCACTTGTTTTTTAAATGTCTTTCCTAATTCCAAAAATGACTTGAGACATTGTTTAAAACATAGCTGTATAATACTCTTTATTTTGTTTTCTAATCGATTTCTAGTTTTATGCTTTGTCTTATCAGGAAGCTGGTCATGTCTTTTCTTGACAACTGTATTGGGACAGGAAATGTATTTTTTATACAGTTATTTATTGAGATCAGAGTGTTGAGGAAAGAACTTTAAATTCTTGCTTTCCTACCTTCCCTGTTCTTGCACAGTGGTAAGCCCAAGGACAGTAACAGTATAAGAACGTTCACTATGACTGCTGAGCTCTGTACTCGTTAGAATGCAGGTTTGCAGGAGGTGAAGACTAACCTTCCATCCTATTATGGTTACTCTTTGATGGCAAACTGCTTTGTGTTCCCTTGTTTACGTTTACGTTCTCAAATTAAGAGGTGATGGATATGCCTAGTTATAGATGTGGAACTCTTAAGTATAGAGAAATTAAATGGCTTCTCATAATCACATAACTAGGAAATCAGAGTAGAAGGAAACTCACATTTGTCTATTATTCAAAAATGAGAGTAAAAGCGTGATCCCATAAGCAGCCAGACAAAGGTAGTGACGGACAAACCTCAAGAAGATTAATACTAGACAACTGTCGATTAATAGTCTCACTTTAAACCTTATCATCATCATTTTTGACATTTATAGGGCTATCGAGTTATAGAAGAGAAACTTCCAATTATCAGGTCAGAAGAAGAAAAAGTAAGATTTGAAAGGCAAAAAGCCTGGTGCTGCTCAACCTTGCCAGAGCCTGCAATATGTGGGATCAGTCGGATATGGGTCTTCAGCATGATGCGGAGGAAGAAAATAGCTTCTCGAATGATTGAATGCCTAAGGTAACTTGATTGTAATTCTTCAAAATCAAGATTTGCAGTAGTTAAGAATTTTAAGAACAATTTTTATATGAAAATTGATACTTGTAAGTGTTTAATTTATTCATTTAAATTTTGCATAAAGGTAGTAGAGGTCTTTAAGGTACTTTTTGTAAACTTAATTTGAGAAGGAAGAAAGTACTGTAGGTTAAATATTATTAAACCACTTTGACTTAGTTATTTGTAATTATAACATTAGGCCAATATAACAGACACCTTTTTTTGGAGACAGGGCTGAGACTCACTATGTAGACTAGGCTGGCCTTGAATTCACAGAGATTTGCCTGCTTCTGCCTCTCAAGTGCTTGTGTATCATTACCCTGGCTAAGAGACATCTTTCAAGCCATGTTCAGTTTTGGACATTTTTGAACATAAAGGGAAATGTGGAAAGTTTCTTGGGAGTTCAGGTTTTAGAGAGAGTTGTCTTACTATTTTGGGACCAATGATGTGGCTTGGCAGGTATAAAGGTGCTTGCTGTGCAAGCCTGGTGACCTGAGTGCTATCTCCAGAATCCACATCAAGGTGGAAGGAAAGAGCCTACTCCAGAGTTGTTTTCTCACCACTATACATACATGCGTTGTGACAAGTGTGTGCAAAATCATGAAAACACACAATTTTAAAATATTATTTTTGTTTCATGTGTATGAGTGTATTGCCCGCATGTATGTGAGTGTACCCGTGTCGTGCAGTGCTGCGGAGGTCAGAAGAGGGCTTCAGATTCCCCTGGAACTGGAGTTAAGGACGGTTTGTAGCCGCCATGTGGGTGCTGGGAATCAAACCCAGGTCCTCTGCAAGAGCAGTCAGTGCTCTTAGCCGCTGAGCCATCTCTCCAGCCCCAATACACACAATTTTAAAAAGCCCTTTTAAGTACTTTTATGCTGTCTCATCACTTTTTCTTTCTTTCTTTTTTTTAATCAAAAATACAGAGAAGGACTAGAGAGATGGCTCAGTGGTTAAGAGCACTGGTTGTTCTCTGAGGGGACATGGATTCGGTTCCCAGCACTCACTGGCAGCTAACACCTGTCTGTAACTCCAGTTCCGGGGAATCCCATACCTTCTGGCCTCCTTGAGTATCAAGCACACATGGTGTACTTACATACATGCAGGCAGCACCCTCATAAATTTAAAATAAATAAAATCTTTAGGAAAAAAAGATTCATTTATAAAAGTACAGAGACAATACTCAGACCTTTTTGTCCTTCCAGTAAAGCACCTTTAATAAAGGATTTAATAATCATTCAGAAGAGATTTTTTGGGCAGAGAGAGTAGCTGGGAAGTAGAGCAAATGTCAGGCCCTGGGTTCAATCTGTAGTGCTTTAAGGAATTTGTTTTAGAGGCTGGGAGTGTGGCTCAGTGGTAGAGTGCTTGCCTTGCATGCACAAAGCCCTGAGTTCAATCCCCAGCACTGCAAAAATAAAAAATAAAAAATTTGCTTTAGGTCAAAAGTTTTTAGATCAGCTTATTTTATTATTTGTAAATTTGTCAACTCTTTTCTGTGGATATAGGCTTTGAAGTAATCTTACTGTTACAAGTGGAAGCCTATGACCCTGAGAATCCTAGATCCTTAGTGTATATTGCTCAATGAAAAATGATCCAGAACTGCTAACAACTACTCTCTTTATGACAAGAGGAGAGCTATTTTTTTCCTTTCAGTACTAAGCCTGGGAAACAAGCTTATTAAGTAAAAATAGTCTTAAAGGAGACTATTTTTGTATTGTATTACTAGTATTGTCTTTCCTTTAAATGTGGCAACCATAGGCGGCTTCTTGTTTGTTAAAAAAGAAAAACAAAACTGAAACAGTGGAGTAGCTGTATTCATTCTGTATGGTACTGAATAAGCTCCCTGTTAAAACATACAGAGCTTCTGCTTTCTTTCTTTTACTGCTTCATATGTGTATCTTCCTGCTGTTAGTGTCTAGTACTCCCTGTGAAAATTACAACATGGAAATTCTACCAGTAGGCTTGAGATGTATACTATAAATTCATCTATTTAAACTTTAGCCCTTAAATGGGGGTAAGATAGTTCAGTGCTTAAGAGCACTGACTGCTCTTGCAGAAGACCTGGGTTCAATTCCCAGCACCTACATGGTCGCTAAGAACGGTCCTTAACTTCAATTCCAGGGGAATCCGATGCCCTCTTCTGACCTCTGCAGCATTGCGTGACTCAGGTGCACTCACATACTCGCAGGCAATACACTTGTACACATAAAATAAAAGTAATTTAAAAATAAAATAAAATTTACCCCTTGTTACTGTTTTTTGTTTTGTTTTGTTTTGTTTTGTTTTGTTTTGTTTTGTTTTGTGATAGGGTCTTTCTGTAGCCCCAGCTGGCCTGGAACTCTCTATATAGAGGCTGGCCTCGATCTCACAGAGATCCACCAGCCTGTCTCCCTACTGTGAGTAGTAAAGGCATGTGTCACCACACCTGACTCAGTGGGTTTTAATATATTGAAAAACGTAAACAGCTATCACCCTGTCTAATTTAGGTGTGTTTCCACCTCACCCTCCTCCCATAACCCTAACCCATGCAGTGACTCCCCATTTTCTTCAGTCCTCAGCTGCTGGCAGCCGCCAACCAATGCCCTAAATCAGTGTACTTTCTAACATTCCACATAAATAGAATTCTACAGTATAAGACCTCTATGAATGCTTCTTTCATAGAGCATGTTTTCAAGTATCATCCATGTTGTAGCATGTATTAGTCTGCTGCTTTTTTGTGTGTTTACATGTATATGTATGTTGGTGTGTGTACTGTGTGCACGTGCATGTGGAACTTGGGACAGTCTTGAGTGGTGTTTCTCAGGCACTGTCCATCTTGTTTTTTTGAGACAGGGTCTCTCACTGGTTTGGAATACTTACCAAGTGGGCTGGGCTGACCAGTGAACTTCAGGGATCTACCAAACACCAGTGTCCCAGTGCTGGAAACACAAGCACGTGCACCACCAGGCCTGCCTTTTTTTGATGTGGATTCTAGGGGCTGAACTTGGGTTCTTTTGCTTACACATTACCACTAAGTTATCTCTCCAACCCCAATTTAAAAAAAAATTACAAATTTTTTTCATGGTTGCCAAACAGTATAGTACAATGTATTTACGCCATTTTATTCATTCCTCACTGGAACATTTGGGTTGTTTCTGCTTATTGGCCATCAAGAATAGTACAACTTTAACCATAAAAATTTGTGTGAATGTATGCTTTTATTTTGGGAGGTGTATACTTAGGAGTAAATTGGGCTCTTGTAGTGCTGATATGTTTAATGTTTTGACCAAGTGTCAAACTTTCCTGTTGTGGCTGTACCATTTTACAGCCAGCAGTGTATGAGGTTTCTAATTTGTCCACCCCATAATTAACACTTGTTATTCTTTGTCTTCAGCCATCCTAATGTGTATAAAGAAGTAATTCATTATAGTTTTATTTGCATTTCCTTAATATGTAATATCTTTTTGTGTACTTTTGACATTTTTATATCATCTTTAGAAAAAATATTCAGAAGTTGGGGATATGACCCAGTGGATAAAGTGGTTGCAATGAGGGCCTGAGTTCGAATCCCCAGCACCTACATAAAAACTGGATGTTGTGGCATGTGCCTGTAACCCTGGTGCTAGGGGGCAGAGGCATATGTTTCACACAATTTGCTGGCCAGCCAGTCTAGGCAAAATAGTGAGCTCCAGGTTCACTGAAAGACTGTGTCTCAAAACAGTGAGGTGGAAAAGCAATCGAGGAAGATATCCTGACGTCAACCTCTAGCCTTCATATGCTCCCACACTGGTGAGCACACTTTCACATACATATCCCTCCCGCCAAAACCCTATTCAAACCCTATATCCAATTTTAAATTGGTTTATTTGTGTTTCCTTGTTTCTTTGTTGCAATGATTGTTTATGTATTGTAGATACAAGTCCCTTTTCATATCCATGATTTGTACATGTTTTCTACCATTTGTGATTCTCTCTTCATCTTGATAATGTATGCTTGTTTGAGAAAGGGTCACTATATAGCCCATGCTGGCTACAAATTTTTCTTTTTTTTTTCCTTTTTTCTTTGAGACATGGTGTCACTATGTAGTTCTGGCTGGCCTGAAACTTGCTGTGTAGACTAGGCTGGCTTTGAACTCAAAGAGATCTACCTGCTTCTGTCTCTCGAGTTTTAGGATTAAAGGTGTGTGCCACCATGTTCCACTGTGGCCTCAAACTCTTGATCTTCCTGTCTTAGTCTTTCAAATACTAAGATTATAGATGTGCACCACCATGCCTGGCTTTGTCCTTTGATACACAGAAGCTTTCCGTTTGATGAAATTCAATTTACATTCTTTGCTTTTGCCTCTGTTTTTGCTGTCACACATTAAAAGTCAGTGTCTGATACATGGCCCCAAAGATGTTTTCTCTAAGAGTTTATAGTTTTGGTTCCTCCACTTAGGCTTTTTGATTTATATTGAATTATTATGTGAGATGTGAGGTAGGGTATCTTATGTAGATACTTTTTGAGGAGAATGGCTGTCCTATTATCTCACCACCATTTGTTAAAAGGACTATTCTTCCCCTCTGAGTAGTTGGTCTTGGCATACTTGTAAAGGTTTTTATCTGGACTCACAGTTTATTCCATTGTTCTGCATGTCTGTGCTTAAGTCCATATTACACATCTTGAATACTGTAGCAGTGCAGTGTTTCTGGAAAAGAGGATATATGAATCCTTCATCTTTTTTCATTTTTCTTTATAGCAAAAACTGTTTTGCCTATTTGGCATCATTTTTTATTTCCGTGGGAATGTTAAGATCAGCTTGTCAATTCATTGCTTCAAGGAAGCTGGGTGTAGGTCCATTTTGTGCAATAGTGCCATTTTAACAGTATTCATTCTGCTGATTCATAAACATGTGATGTCTATATTAGGTTTTTAATTTATATCACCAGTATTTTATAGTTTGTAGTTTACAGGTCTTCTGTTTAAAATTTTATAAAGTATTATACATCTTAGTATTGTTATAAGTGACTTTTTTCTAGGTTTCAGTTTTGAATTGTTCACTTCAAGTATATAGCTTATATATTTCATATTTGAATATCTTGTTTGCAACCTTATTGAATTCATTTATTAAATCTTACCTGATTTGGGTAAATTACTCAGAATGTTCTATATACAAGATCACATCATCTGCAAAAGAACCTCCTTCCCCTCCCTCCCTCCCTCCCTCCCTCCCTTCCACTTTTTCTTTTCCTCACCTATTTGCCCTGGCTAGAATTGCCAGTATAATTACTGAAGAGGCAGGAATAGCCTCATCTCTTTGCTGATCTTTGAGGGGCAGTTCTGTCTTTGCCCAGGAACTTAACGTTTCTTGATACCCTTGATCAAGTTGAGAATACCTTCAACTCTTAGTTGTTGGACACATGATTTTATAAATGTTGCTTTTGTAAAGATCAAGTTGTAATATTTTAGATGAACAGTTATTTCAACAGTCTTTAGAACAACATAGCATTGCTTAAGTCTTTCTTGTAGAAACGATTTTGACAGATTTTTCAAGTTTAATGAAAAGAAATACTAATTTTTTAACTTCCCCAATTCCCCCTTCCTTTTTTTTTTCCTCAATAGGAGTAACTTTATTTATGGCTCATATTTGAGTAAAGAAGAAATTGCGTTCTCAGATCCCACTCCTGATGGAAAATTGTTTGCAACACAGTACTGTGGCACTGGTCAGTTTCTGGTATATAATTTTATTAATGGACAGAATGCTACCTAATAGAAACCTTACCTACAGTACCAGAAGACATCTATTGAAGAGAATGAATTGGTTGCTGACTTTAACCAGGAACTAGGGCCATTTTTATTACAATGAACTCAGGACTGGCAGCAGCCATATGGCTGTTCCATTTTCATAAAATTGGAAACAATGCAGTAATAGCCTATTATTGTTTTGTTTTTTAAAGAAGATATTTTATTATCTTTTACAGAAATTTATGATTGATGTATTTTATCTATAGTTATTTAGACATGTTTACATGCAGCAGATAATTGTTCATAGTGGACTGAAAACTAATGCAAGGACTATGGTCTCAGTGATAAGTATATTTTGAAGTTCTTAATATGGAAATATACCAGTGTAGCTTGGTACTGTATTTTTTTATATTGATCTGCTGATACCAGTTACAGGTTTAAGGATTGTATTTTCGCAAAGTGGAAGCCAGTGTTTTTGAGTTATTCAAGGAGTGTACATACAGTGTTATGTGTTTAAGAATTTGAAGCTAGTTCTTAAAAATCCTAAAATAGCTGGGCATGGTGGCGCATGCCTTTAATCCCAGCACTTGGGAGGCAGGGGCAGGCAGATCTGGACAGCTGGGGCTATAGGGAGACCCTGTCTCAAAAAGACAAAAAAAACAAACAAACAAAAAAAACCAAACAAAATCCTAAAATAATACTTTAAGGAAATCCCTACAGCAAACGAAAGTTCCAAATGTGTGGAAAGAATTTGAAATACTGAGTGTTTCCTTCCACTTCTCTTTCCTGTCACTAATGGCAGAAGTAAAGTCGCTTTCCTTCTTGTGAGCTATAAATTACTAGAATTATTGAGGACACCTTCTAATTCATTTTATTCTGGCTTCACTTTAAAAAAAAAAGTTGGTACAACTTGGCTATAAGTCTTAGGCTTGTGATAAAACTGTGGAATAGTTGCAAAGTAAATGTGGATGACTTGGTATCTGCATTGTTATTCCTCAGAAATACTGCACTGAGTATATGTCTTCATTACTGGACTTCATTTTAATACTTGTCTATCCTTCATAGTGCCCTCTCTTTTAAAGGGTTTATATGTTGAAAAACTGCTGTGGCCTTTTATGACCTGTACATAATGTAGAATAAAATAATAAAATACTTGATAGATTTTCTAAGTGATAAATGTACTGAGACAGTGTTGTGTTGAATTTTTGTACTTTTTTGAGCAGTTTCTTAGGTTTAAGATGATGAAATAAGATTGAAACACTGGTTTCTTACAAGTAGTTTTTACCAATTTGCCAAAGAATCATATGCCAGTAACTACCCAACTTTATCTCCAGAAGACAAAATCCTTCCTGAATATTTTAGTAATATGGTTCTTGAATAAAGAGCCACAGCCCAAAAATGAAGCACCACCTTGGTTCCACCTGGATTATCTTTATGAACTGAAATGATATCTCCATTGAAAACTAGTTAAAATTTAGGAACTTAAATTATGATTAATACTTGTGTATATTTTATCTCCTTGTAGGTTTGTCCTTTGTAAGACTCTATACTCTGGGCATGAGGTAGACTGCTAAGAGAGAGTAAATATTTTCCTCTGACGCCATGGTCTGGCATTTCACATTACCAATATTGAGACTCTTAGTCATCCTAAGTCTCATAGTTTGAGAGGAGCCTAACCTTTTGTAAACACAATAACAATTTTGGAGTAGCATTAGTTTTTCAGTGCTATTAACTTCACATACAGGCCCATTTCCATGCGAGTCTTAGCATACTACCACTAGCCAACCACACATGATAGAAGGATGTATGTTGATTGGTTGGTTTAAATGTTGCTATTACTAGGAACAGGTTGTTTTTATGTTACTAATAAAAAAAGTAGCCCCTCAAAATTTATAATTTAGGTATTTCCCTAAGCATAATAGTGTCATTAATACCGAACGTGTTTACTTGTGATGTAGACTAGACTGGCCTCAATCTCTCATATCTGCCTGCCTCTCCCTCTAGAGAGCTGGGATCAAAGGCATGAGCCACCATGCTTGGCAGGTTAAAAGGATTTGATAGGGGAAGGTGAGTTCAGTTTTGGTCAAGATTTTAAGGTAGTTATAGAACTTCCAAGTGGAGTTACTGCCTATACAATTGGGTGTGTGGATCTAGAGTTGTAGAGATGTTTGGAGTGAGCAGATAGTTTGTCATTGACGGTTTAGAAGAGATTATCCTGGGTTTTGTAAAAATAAAAATTGGAAGAAACACCATTTGAGTGTCTCAAAGAAGAGTCCCTGAAAAGACACACGGAGGAGGAGAGTTAGAAGAGAGTGCTGGAAGACAAGAGAAGAGCTTCAGAAACCAAAGAATGCCTAACGCTGTCAAACCATAGTTGAAGAGAGGACTCTGTGACATTAGAAAGAGCAGCTCTATGGGGTGGAGGCAGCAGCCACAGTAAGCATGGACCAGTGGTGATCAGCAAGCTTCAGAAGGTGATTTTATAATGGCTGATTGTATAAATTTGTGTCAATGGCCCTCTAACATTTGCTGGTCCTTTTTGAAAATACCTAACATGTTAAAGGAAAAGGAAAAAAAGCTAGCATATAGCTCTTAGAGGAACCGGGAGTCTTAATGGGTTATGCTCTTACCTTGGAGACATACAGTGGTTTCTTTAGCAAGAATTGGACAGAGCAGTATATTGTCAGTTGATAACACATGAGGGTGAACTGTCTACCAAAAGCCCAACTACAAAGACTCACACTTACTGATACTTGTTTCTGTTTATCCTGCTCAGCCACAGTTAGCCTAGGGTTAAGATTGCCAAGTTGGTGGGCATAGTGGTGCATGCCTTTGGTCTCGGCACTTGGAAGGCAGAGGCAGGTAGGTAGATCTCTGTGAGTTCGAAGCCAGCCTGGTCTACATTGGGAGTTCGAGGCTAGCCAGGGTTACATAGTGAACCCCTGTCAAAAACAAAAACCCAGAAAACAAATACTGCTACTCCTAGAGCCTTTGGCCTAGATGAGTATATTAATTGGTTTTGTTTAAATTCTTTTACTCTAAATATTCCTTATATATTAGAGCTGGAAGATTTTTCTGAGACAGTTGTTTTCAAGAGTTGGCAAAATTAGGTGGAGTTTAGAAATAAATGCAAGATTAACAATAACAGCTTTAGTAACCCGGAAGTTCTGTTTCTAAGGATACCAAGGTGAGTATATTTGCCTTCAGTATACGTCTGTCATCTATAATTACATAGAAAGCTGCAAACTGCCAGTAGAGCCTTTTAGGATACATATATATGCTTTGCACAAGCTATGTATTTTCATTCAACTGTTTACTCTCTTCTTGGACTGTTGTGCCAAAATCATAGCATCTTAGAGCCATCTACCCTAAAGTACAGGGACTTCAGCCTTTCTTGAACAGTGCCAGAGTCAAGGAGCTTGTTGCATTTTTTTAAACAATATGTTTAAAGAAAACAGACTTTTTTTAGAGGGTGAGGAGTGGGAGAAAATTTTAATACATTCACCAAATGAAAGGACAAGAACATACTGTAGATACAACTTAAGACAACTTAGAGGCATAAACAAAATGTGAGGTAGAGGTGACTAGTGAAATTCACCAAATTTTGGTTAAGAAAATTTTACAGTAACAAATAACACAGGTGCCCCCTCTTCTAAAAGTCACGAGAAGCAGTTGCATAAATTATAGCCAAAACAAACTGACTACAACAGTTCTTCTAATTTTTTAGTTTACATTCAATATTAACCTGTGTGAACTGTCTTATGTGCCAAGGTTCAGCAGGTCTGTGGGTAAATTATGGTGTGGCCTAGTGAATCCATTTGCCCACCTCAGTGTCCTAAGGGATGGGAAAGGGTAAAATCAATAAACCAAGACATGCATTAACAAATCATGGTGTCCTGGACTTGTGCAATTTCATCCTTAAAAAGGACCTAACATTCTCTAAAGAATTATACTGATAAGGCGATTTAAAAAGAGCCAAACCTTATAGAGTTAGACTTTGAAAAGAAGAGAGGCTAGTGAAATTTCTCCATTATTGGGGTGATGGTCTTTTGGCTTTATTCTGGCATTTCTCTTGTACAGAGCTGAGTAATATTTACAAGTTTATAATCATTTGAGTTTCCAGAGTGCAGCGCTAACATGGAGTACCTGCATCTAAAATAACCTTTAAAAAATATTCTTTGGCTTTATGAATTCCAAAGTGGAAAAAAAAAGGGGGGGAGCCAGTAGTAACTCTTAGGAGGCCATCTGCCCCAGGTACAATTGTTGTAGAATTAGTTCAAGTATTTTAATTGCCCTACATAGTGGAATATTGCACACATAGTGGGTTTCTTGATATTACCAGCATTGGGACCCTTTCAGCAAAACAGGAACAAGTGAGATACATTCATATCTAAATCAGACTGCCCTGGATCCTACCTCTTTGCCAGAAATTCTGCCACGCTGAAGTTAAGGAGTATTTTTAAAGCATATAATAAGGCAGATCCTCTTTGAAGGACAATTAAAAATGGGGTTAAGAAGAAATAATCATTTTAAAATACATTAAAAGCAGTGTAAGTAGCTGTTTTAAAACCAAGAGATCTGCAAAACGAGTTCAGTCTAATACATTCCATCTTTTCACTAGCTAAAAAGTCCTTGTTTATCACAAGATAATAAAGCTTGTTTATTTAAAACTTTTAAGTAAATGCAGGCTTTGAAGACCCCTCTCAGTTTGAAGTCACAAGACAGATTCAAGTAAGAATGACTCTTTTAGTGGGATAAAATGATACCTATGGGCCGAGAAAATTTTGAGGTGATTATGATTAATTAACGAGAGTAATTTAAGTGTAAACTTCCAATAGACTATTCAAGAATATTTTCCAGAAATGTTTTTGGTTAAATATTTGGTGAGAAAGCCATAGAAACTTTCACCTGCTGCTATTGGTCATACACTGCCTGCTGATTTTATTGAGTCCAAAAGACTCTTCATGCAACCTTCCTTACCACCATTTCTCTTTCTATGCTTTTTCCCATTTCACCAATTTCTGTGTGTTACGGTAAGGCCGCTGATACTCAGTGTTTGTCTTCTAAAGGAAGCTTTGCTTGAATCCCTGAAAGAAATGAATTAGTTAGACTGTACAGCAGAATCCCAGACTGTTGTAGAAGTTTTGCTTGTGCCAGCTGCTTACTTTACGGTTAACTGAAGAATGCTGTTTGCCCAAGCACTTAGTCAACTTCTTGCACAAAACTGTTCCATGCCATAGACATGGAGTGCTTAAAGACTGGAAACTTTTGTAAAGAATGGGAAAAACAAAGGAATTAAAGCTTAGAGAAGCTTCATAAATGGCACACAATGCCTCCTCTGCATTTACTGATTTGTTTGTTCAGTTTAAATAGTAAACTTTTAACTCCTGTGGAAATTTTGCTGAAAGTTTTAATACATATAAAGATTATAAATCTTAAACTAACACTGCACAGAGAAAGACAAAGCTACTTCTTTTTTAAATACAAATATCTTCTACACTCTATCATTTCAGACCCCTGAGTAATACTGTACCAAAGTACAGATCTGAAGAGAAACTGAGGGTTCAGGCCTCAAATGTTAATCTTCAATTAATTTCACACCAGTGGTGTGAGTCTCTTGTAACACATTCAAACTGGCTAATGCTGACAGTTTTCCTCCTAACATAGTGTGATAGAAAAAAACAATGCAAGTTCCGTGATCCCTAGAATCTGTCCTTCTCAGGCTCTCCCAGGCTAGCACATCTTAAGAATTGCATAACTGCGTACTGTGGCATTCACCTGAACATAGGTTCTGTAAATGGAAATGAATGCTGATGCCCCCAAAGACCTTGGTCACATTTGGGGAGTTCTTTGGAGAATAGACAAATGTTGCACTTTGCTCCACAGTGATTGTACTTTAAAGAAAAAAAATCCCCAATAATTGTTAGTCCCACCCCATCTAGGGATCTGTTATTTTTGGTCTCTTCAAAAGCTCATATGTGACGTCCAGTAAGAAAGTATAGTGGCTTGTCATCGCTGCTGTTAGCTGTTTGAAACTCATCCCGGAGGCGGAACTGCCACTCATCTTCTAACTCTAAACGAACAATAGTTTGGCGTAAGGAGCTTCTATCTTGACAGATGACACACAGGGTAGCACCTTCAGGAAAAAGAACAGACATAACCTTACCACCTCTCTCTAATCTATTCCTGAACTAACAGCTTTGAGAACCAATATACAGGTAGGTGACCATTTTATTGCAAGTAGTTTCACAAAAGTTTAAAAGGAATGTAAAGTGAGATTAGAGTTGAGATTCTTTCAGCTACAATCTGTTTGGTGGTTGATGTTGAAACCCATGTTTTCCTGATTATTATTATTTTTTTCCCCTCTAGAATACGGTTTCTGAACCTTAGCACTCAGGAGCATCCCTGGCTTCTGCCCACTCTGTGCTGGAGGCACCCTCCCCGCCTTGAGAACCACTGCTCCAGAGCCACTGCTTCACACACCTTACCCTCATACAGTATTCTGAAACTCACTTTTATCACTGGCCTCAGAGGTCATCGTGTCACGATTATTTGTGATGTTCTTAGGCAAGTTGGACTTTATGTTGCATACCTACTGAAACAATTTTAGTTTCTGTGCCAGAGTCATAACTAAGGTTTTATATCTGGGGATGCAATTGTGCAGATTTATTGCAGTTGATTTCTGACCAATCAAAAATCAAATGACTGTAGAATATAAATACTACTAATAAACATGCATGTAGACTTAA